TTTAAGGTTACATAAATAATCATGGAATTTTCATTGATATTCATAAAATATTCATAAATATATACACATAAAATAATGAATAAACTCTTTTATTAAATAAATAATAAATATCCTATTACATCTCATGCTTCTAGGACACTATTCCCAACATTGTCTACTTCATATGAGATGTTTGTTATATGATTTTTATCTACCTTACATTCTGATAATTTTTTCCTACTCACCGACAAATGTAAAAGAGATTGCATATATTCATTCATTCAGTTACACGTTTTCTTTTCAGTTGGTTTTTTTATCCTTGTGAGCCTTTATACTTTGGTCTCTGTGGATGGAACAAAATGGTATAATTTTTTAGCAAAAGGCGATGAGGCCAATTGATATTTTTGAGAAGGCAAAGTTATATGCCAAAAATAATTCCACAACTCGAAGACTACAACTGTCCCTGAGTAATTGTCACTAATGCTTCTTCTAGTTGTAATTATATTGTGAATGAAAAAATGAAAAAAAAAAAAGAGAATTAATTATCATAAATTTATTGTTAAAAAATTCAAAATCAAAATATTATGTGTTTTTAAAATTAAACAAGTATTTTTAAATACCAAAAACAATTATATATATTTAAATTTCATATCATGTCTATTTTGGTCATTTTACATACCCACAGCAATTCCACCTTAAAATTTACCAAACGCTATTTACTGATTTTGGAACCAGCACAGCTACTATAATTACAATTTACCAAACACTCAACTGCTTCTTGGAACAGCAGCTTTTTCTTTCAGCACAACTAAAAACACTTTTTTTAAAATCCACAGCATTACCAAACTAAGCCGTCATCAATTATAAGAATAGGACTCAGTTCAAAATCAAAATGCACAACAAATACAAGGAAGCGCAAAAGCGATACCTGCTTTGGCTGGCCATTTCTACCACCAATAGTCGTCACAATTATATGCCCTGTTTCAGTCCCGTTACCATCAACGACAGTGGCTTCCATTTCCTACAGCATAAAGGGAGGTTTGTAAGCATCTGGCGGGGCAAACATTTGATAACTAAAACATAAGAGTATACAGAAACCATTAAAGTAACAAAATACTTAACATAAATCCATATAATACATACTTTGTCATCCCTAATTTTCATATCGTTCATCTCCTCAGGCAACTTGTCAACACCTGCAGCATGACCACTGGGTTCTCTTGCACCAGCAGGTGCCACTCCCACTGAAGCCATTTCTCAAAAAAGTTCTCTTCCTGTCTTTTTATATTTTTGCCTTCATAAAGCTGAACATTAACTGCTCAAAATCAATTCCCCCTTGTAAATTCATCTGTTCAATAGCAACTTATATGATATGATATACTAAACACTGCCATTCCTCTTTACACAAACCAAGATAGAGCACAAATTAAAGCTCCATGAGATGTACACCAATAAAAAATGCCCAGCGAAAACGAGGGGCAGAAGAACTGTAACCAATCACGCCATCAAAAGAAAGAAATCATTAATCATAAAACCCAAAAAAAAAAAAATTGCACGAGCAAAAAAAAAAGCAATAAAGGAACCTTTTTCAGCTTCTAAAAATACCCACTACAGAAATATCAAAAAACACAGTTGTCACAAAAGAAAATATATAAAAAAAAAAAATCCAGAGATCCAACATCATTATAAAAGAAATCCAACTAATAAAATCCAATAAACAGAAAAGGATGAGACAAATCATAGCTACAACTAAAAAAGGGAAAAAAAAATCACCCAGGTACTCAAAGCAAGCTGATCCAAATAACCAAAAGCAAAACATTGAACAAGAAAAAAAAATCATTTTTTCTTTTTAAATCCCTAATGAAGAACTGAAATGAAATGATGTTCGAAGAAGTTATATTACCGATTAAAAGTGGGAAACAGCAAAGATCAAATAGGGATCATCAGCGAAGAAAGAGAGAGAATCAAAAGCTTAGATCCGTGATTTGGCGCTGGATTTGTGCGAGATTAGGGAGGGATTCCTTTCCTTTCTTTTACTTTCCTTTCCTTTCTACAAATGGATCGTAAGAGAGCGAAAGAAAGATAGAGTGTGGTGTTGAGTTTATTTTGGCACTTTCGTGTGTGTGGTTGTGTTTTGATGCGCTGGTGACAGTCAAAGAAGAGCCCTAAATTATTAGCTCTGATTTTTTTATTAAAAAAATTATTAATGTTGATATTTATTTAATAAGTATTTTTAAGGTTTTAATTGGATAAGTAGGGTTAATTATGGGTGTGTTTATTTCACAACTCAAGTTAACTTGAATTGTGCATGTGAGAAAAAAATATTATAGTAAAAAGTTAAATTTAAATTTTTAAGGAAAAATACTATAATAAAACATAATAATAAAATTTTAGTTGTAAAATGAATATATATTTATATCTCATAGCTTTAATTATTTCTCAATATCTGCTTTTATTTTTTTTTTAGAGAAAATATATGCTTCTATTTTAGGAACTACAAAAGTAAACATTAAACTTAAATAAAAAAAAATATATGTTTCAATTTCAACCTCGCACATTTTGATAATAATAATAAAAAAAAAGAAATATTAGTATTATTTTTTTGTCACTCTTTAATTTTTTTCTGTATTTACTATTTAATATGTAGACTCTTCTACTAATATAATATTATTTAAATAAAAAATAAGATAATGAAATAAATATGTGTAAAGAATTATAAAGATAGTGACTAAAAGAGATTCTATGGAAAAAAAAAAAAAAAAAAAAAGCGCTAGGGCCTATTTGAAATGGCTTTAATTAATCCACAAGTTGTTTTTGAGCTTGTTTAAATTGGCACCCTACGTATGTTTTTTGACTTTATAAGATCTTTTCGAACAAGTCAACTTCTTGATGTTTTATCAAACAAAGAGCTTATGAAATGTTTCTTTTTTTTTTTTCCTTCCTTTATGAAGAGCAAATTAAAATTTCCTTATACTACATTTCTTTTTATAATAACTAGTTGAAAGCATATGTGTGTGCGTATTCAACGTGTTACATTTAATAATACGACGATCTAAATTTTCTTTTAAAATTTTATTTTTTAAACTTATTATTCTTTAAGAGTTTAGTTTAGTAAACATTTAAAAATAAAAAAGAAATAGATAAAAAGATAAGATAAAAAATCATGAAAATATTTTTTTCTAAAAAAAAAAGAAAAGAAGTTAAAACTGATGAATTGTGTCAAAAAAAAAAAAACAAAAAAAAAAACCTTCTTATTGTGATACATGTTAAAAGGAATGGAAAGTTTTTTAGTTCTTTTATGTTCGTAAAATGTAATAACGATAAAAATAAGAGCTTTCAATTTATTTAACCAAATAAGTTCAAAAATTCTTATAATATTTATGTCATTTTTCATGCCTTACCTAAACAATAATTAATCTACTACTTAAAATATAAAAACGAAAACTAGCTTAATTAGATAGAATTTATTTACGACAAATATTCTTTTTTCTTAAAAGGATTTTGAAAATATATTTTTAACATTTTAAAAAATATAAAAACTTAATATCCGTTTTTTAAATTTGATGTTTTGTTTCAGGACTTTTATGTTCTTAAAATTTATAAAATATTTTTTGGTAATCTTTACGGTGCAGGAGGGCTGAAATCCCCACCAGTGCAGCAACTCTTAATGAAAACAGTTAGATAAAAATCTCAAGCTCTAAAAAAGGTAATTATTTTTAGTGTTTTTTTTTTTTCCATTCTTCACGTAGGATCGTAATCCTATTAAGTCGTACAGGGTTATTTTGCCTATTTTTCTTTTTCTTTTTTTTTTTTGGAAGAGTTGTCTGTTCGTTGATGTCAACGGAGCTAAGTCTCTCAATCTCATCATCTCTCAAGCTCTCTTTGGAGCTGCTTAAAGAGAAACCCCATCTTTTTATGTTATATTCCTTTCTCAAAATCTGACCAACAACCCCAACAATGGCTCTAATTCTTAAAGAGGTGAAGCAGCTTCTAAAAGCTTCTTTAGTTCTTTTAGTGAAAATAGTGGTGCCTAGATGAACGATATCCCCTCTCAGTAAATTGTCCAAGTTTTTTAAATCAGGTATTCCTAATTGAAGAGTTTTAACACCCGAAAAAGAATGCAATTAGTATTGAAATTTTGGACAGGCCGTTCGTGACTACCGAAAATTTTAAATTTTTACCTGATAACCGAACCCGCCCGAGCCCGAATTTTCGGGCTGCCCAACCTGACCCGAGCAAGCCTTTGGACGGGTTTCGGGTAAGTTTTGACTGTCGGAGCCCGGTCGGGCAGCCCGAGACCGTCCGAAGTGCCCTACCTAATTTTTAATATTTTTTATATATTTATATACTATTATATATATTATATATAATTTCATTTATTAATTGTATATGGTATGTATATAAATAATTTTTAAGTTATTTATTATAAACATTATACAAAAATTATAAGAGAGATTGCAATTTAAAATTTGAAATGCACACGAATTATATAAAAAAAAATATTTATTTATTAATTTTTGAATTTGTAATTCATGATTGCCTTGTTAAAAACTTTATCAAGAAAAATTCAATTGAGATAAAAACTTGGTAAGGAAAAAAGAGTGCAATCATTCTGGGACGAATTACAAATTTGACGAACTTACAAAGTCTATACAAGATTACAATAACATTGTACAAAGTAAATAAATATTTACAAATTACAACAATAGAATTTAATTTAAAGCTGAAGGATCGTCTTCAAAATTAAAAGTTAATCTATTAAATTCATCGATCCATTCTTAGCTTGCCAGCGAAATTATATCATGTAAGCGTTGGTCGGAACAATCTCAATCCTTAATGCACACCAATGCTTCAACAATGTCCTGTTGCAATGCGTTTTTACGTTCCTCAAGTATTCAGCGGGTCGTATTGAAGGCTTGTTTGGATGAAACACTGGAGACTGGGATCAAAAAAATATCCATTGCCAATCGAGTTAGGATCGGCCAAGTTAATGCTCGTGGCCTCCATTACTGAACCAAATCAAACATTTCACTATCGTCGACTACTAAGCCCTCACTCAGGTACGCCATTAACTCGTTGAAGCCGCCACTGTTGCCGCCATCTCTTGATGAAGATCCACTCCCAGATTCTCCTTGACCTTGAGTCATCGTCGTCATCGTCTTCTTCTTCTTCTTCAACCCGAAAACATTCAAGAATGAATGCGGATTGTCGTCACGTTATTGCGGTTGTTCTACATGAGGTGTATTTCTAAACCTACTTTCATAAGAGCTATAGAGAGATAATATTTTTTCCTTTATAATAGGAAATTGGTCAAAATAGTCGATATCTAAAAAGTCACCTAAGTTTTCTAATCCACTTTCTAAACCTTCTAATTTTAATCTAGGATCAAAAATAACACTGAAACCATACAACATTGGTAATTTAGCCCAATATGTTTTAAACTTTTTTTCCGTAGAAGCGATAGGAACTCCTAAAATATCGTGTGTCATAAATTCACTAAATAAAATAATCATTCTTAAAAGTTCTCCTAACGCTAATGGTGACGTTGGGTAATATGTTCCACTAAACTTTAAAGTAACTTCGTGAAATCTACCTAAAAAGTTATACAAAAGTTCGGCAATTTGCCAATCAATTTGGTCTATAAATTTTGGTCCTAATTTTACACTAACATAGTTTGTTATAGCATCTTTATAGGGGATGCATTGTTCAAGCATTATATAAGTAGAGTTTCATCTTACGGATATATCTAAGGCTAATGCTCTAGGATTTTGATTACATGCTTGTAAAAACCTAAACCAATCTTGTATTCTTTGATTACTACATTGAATCAATGCAATGTTATCTCTAATTCTTTTAATATGACTTGACATTGATTTTAAACCGGATTTTACTATTAAATTAATTACATGGCATGCACAACGTTGGTGAAATATATCATTATTACCGAATAAACTTAAATCCTTTTTCAAAAAGTTCTATTACTTTAGTATTTACAGTAGCATTATCTAATGTTATAGCCATTACTCTATCCCTTAAACTATATTCACTAATGATAGATAAAATTGTACTATATATTAAATCGGCGGTATGTGATCCTATAACACATTTAAAACCTAATATTCTCTTATCTAAATCAAAACTTTTAAAATAATGTCCGGTTACAGCTAAATAATCTTTATTGGTAACGGCGGACTAAATATCCGCCGTTAATGCAACGCAACCACTAGTAGATTGTAAAAGGTTGATTAATGCTTCCCTTTATTGTTTATATAATTTTAATACATCTTTCTTAAGAGTAATTATTGAAAAAAAATGTGCATTAGGATTATGTACAATAAATTCCTTTGTTCAGTAAAACTAAGTGGTTGATTTAATGTGACTATTAATCGTGTCATTTTCATACGATCGACTTGCGGATCGTATTTCCAAGTGCTTAGACCGCCGGTTTGGGAGTCGAATGATAATTGTGTTTGACGGAGATCGGGTCTACCTCCTTACTTTTGAAGACACTTTTCGGAGTGCATTCTCAAGTGTGTTGTGCCGTGAATAGTGTTATCTTGTAATTTATCACCATAATATTTGCATTGAGCTATGTATTTAATGTTACCGCTATTGTCGACCTCCTCGAATGCGTTGAAGTGCTCCCAAACTATTGAGGTGCGCTTGCATTTCTTCTTGGAACTTGCAACACTTGTACTAGCACTTGCACTTGCCTCTCCTCCACGCCCACCATCATTACGACCACGAGGTCCATGACCTCTAGTACGTCCACCACGGCTCGGATTTACAGTTTCCTCAACAGCTCTTTCTGAGGGTCGGGTCGGGCTTCGGGTTTCTCGGGCAATGGTAACAAAAATAGAGCAGTTAGAGTCGGCCAAAATGGGCTCGGGTCGGGTTCCGGCAGAAATAGTCGTTACATTAAAAAATTCGGCCTAACGGTCAAAAAATTATGTTGGTTTCGGATTCAGGTCAGGCATAAGATTCAAAAAACTAGTCGTTCTTTTGGTTATTCTAGCTTTGAGTAGGGTGGAAAAATTCAAAAAAAAAAGCAGCGGCCGGCGGTCACGGCCCCCCACCGGTGG